GGCCCCGTGAGTCATAAGGGACACAGGACAAACACTTGGGGACAACTTCTGTCATTTTACACCCAGGGCACCACCCAGGGATTATTCACTGGGGCAAAGCCACCCCAAAACCGGAGCTGCGGCTCCTGTGGAGTTTGAGTAGGGGCTGGGTGGGAGGGGGAGCTCCTGGAAGGGTTTGGGGGGGATCCCTCAGGAAGGGTCTGGGGTGGATTCCTCTGGAGGAGCTCCTGGAAGGGTTTGGGGTGGGTTCCACTGGAGGAGCTCCTGGGAAGGGTTTGGGGTGGATCCCTCTGGAGGAGCTCCTGGGAAGGATTTGGGGTGGATCCCTCTGGAGGAGCTCCTGGGAAGGGTTTGGGGTGGATTCCTCTGGAGGAACTCCTGGGAATTCAGGCCCAGCATCCACAGGGAGGTTTCTGAGCCCCTTCTTAGGATCCCAGGGAAGCAGGAGCTGCTCTGGGAGGCCACAGCCAGGTGTGGATAAACCATGGAATGGGTAGATAGAGCTCCCACCTTCTCTCCCTGGGAATCGTGAGCTGCACATGGAATTCCCTCCTGGAATGCAGTATCCCAGAAGGGGCTGGGCTGGAGGGACCTTCCCATCCTATTCCCAGGGGCAGGGACACCTTCCTCTACCCCAGATGGCTCCAAGCCCCATCCAGCCTGGCCTGGGACACTTCCACAGCTTCACTGGGAATTCTGTGCCAGCCTCCTGGGTAAGAATTCCTTCCCAATATCCCATTTAAACCTCACCCAGGGAAGAATTCCTTCCCAGTATGCCACCCAAACCTCTCCTCTTCCAGTTCAAACCCTGTCCCCTGTCACTGCTCCTGACACCACCTGGCCTTGGGAAAAGCTGCTCTCCTTCTTCTTTCTTCTTCCCCCAAACTTCCCACATAAATCAAGTTTATTAAAGCCACCATCACCCCTTTAACCCATCCCAGGGATGGTCCAGAAATGTGGAAAATCTGCTTTTTCCTGGGATAACACCCACAGTGCCTGTAGAAAATCTGCTTTTTCGTGTGGAAAACCTGCTTAAATCCACTTTTTCCTGGGATGACACCCACGGTGGCTGTGCCCACAATGAGCTGCTCTGTGCCAGAGGGAAGCAACCCTTCCTAGCCATTCCCTGGAGCTGGGATTGCTCCCTAGCCCCATTCCCAAGGGACACCCACTTGTTCAGGTCCACCTCGTAGGTCTGCATGCGGGGTTTGTCCCCGGCCTTGTCGGGGTCCCATCTGTAGATGGCGAATTTCTTCAGCCGCGGCGCCGCCGCCGCCGTCTGCGCCTGCCGGAGCACCTGGATCCCGGGAAAAACAGCCTCAGATCCCACCCTGGATCCCGGGAAAAACAGCCTCAGATCCCACCCTGGATCCCGGGAAAAACAGCCTCAGATCCCACCCTGGATCCCGGGAAAAACAGCCTCAGATCCCACCCTGGATCCCGGGAAAAACAGCCTCAGATCCCACCCTGGATCCAGGGAAAAACAGCCTCAGATGCTGGGAAAAACAGCCTCAGATTCCACCCTGGATCCAGGGAAAAACAGCCTCAGATCCAAGGAAAAACAGCCCCAGATCCTATCCTGGATCCAGGGAAAAACAGCTTCAGATCCCAGGAAAAACAGCCTCAGATGCCATCCTGGATCCCAGGAAAAAAAAAAAAAACCTCAGATCCAGGGAAAAACAGCTTCAGATCCCACCCTAGATCCTGGGAAAAAACCAGCCTCAGATCCCATCCAGGGAAAAACAGCCTCAGATCCCACCAGGAGGGATCCAGGAGGAGATAAAGAGATGGATATGAGTGTATATATTAAAAAACATATTAAATATATATGTATATATATATATAAAGATTTTAAAAGATAATAACTACATACATTTTTACACACCTATACACACAAACATGATAAATACGCTTGGAATTACGTGTGGGTACCAATGTGTACACCATGTGCTGTGTGTATTCACATTATTATTATATTGTGTGTACTTATATATCATATATTGCATTACATAGATTATATAGCACATTGCATGTGATATATATTCATAAATATGTGTATATAAACATAGATGCACAAATGTATATGTATGTGCAAACACATGTGCACATTGTTTATGGTGCATTTTATTTATAAATTATATGTGTTTATAAATTATATGTATGCATTTGTATATTCTACTGACTGTCATTATAATGACATAATTACATGTTCACTTTATTTATATACTGTGTTTAAAATTATAGTTTATGAATTTATATATCCTACATATACTCTATGTATTTTTAGAGTGTATATTACTCATGATATAGAACACATCATATTTGCATTTTTATATATATATATACACACACATACATATGTATATATAAGTATACAATGCATTTTCTATGGAACAAATTCATATATTCTATGTATGCTTATAAATTACATGTATTTATAGATGTGTTTGTAAATGGCAAGTATTTGTATATTGTGCTGCATGTGTAACTACAATAATATAATTATATTTTACATCCATATATCTTTATGCATATGTTTTATATACCTTATTTATATATATAAGTATTATATATATATAATGTCTGTAGATAAATGTATATACACACATTATATTAATATATTTATAAATAAATATAAACCCATTAAAATTACAAATACATAAATGTATATAGAGATTTTTACATTCACATGTTTATATATAGATAAAAGATAAGTATTTTTATATAAATTAAAATATTTTATATAAATACATCCTGGGGCTCCCCCTGCCCAGAGCCAGACCAATATTCACAAAATTCCGACCTCCACCTGCTCCTGGATCCACCAAACCTCAGCAGCTCTCCCTGCCTGGTTATCCAGGAATTCCTGAGCAGCTCCTGTCTTCCCGGGATCACCCTCGCCCTGCTCCCACTGCTCTTCCCAACCTTCTCCTGGAATGTTCCCACTGCTCTTCCCAACCTTCTCCTGGAATGTTCCCACTGCTCTTCCCAACCTTTTCCTGAACCACTCCCCAAATTTCCTGTTGTCCTTTATCTCCCTAAACCCTTTCCAGACCCTTCCAGCTGCTCTCTGCCCCCAGCCCCCCCGCTTTTCCCGGCCATTCTTCCCCTAGTTCACCTTCTCCTGGATCTGTCTGCCCCCAGCCCCTCCTGCCCCCTCCCTCCATCCCCTTCTCCCGCTCCTCCCCTCTCCCAAATCCCACACACCCCCACATCCCCTCTCCCACTGACCCTATTCCTTCCCAAATCCCACAAACCCCTCCAGCTCCTCTGCCACTGACCCTATTCCTTCTCAAATCCCACAGACTCCTCCAGCCCTTTCCCAATTCCCCCTTCCAGACCCCACAGACCCTCTCCAGACCCTTCCCCACAGCTCCTTCCCCCCCTCTTCTCCCACCCCTTCTTCCTCCCTTTTACCTCACCTCCTCCTGCCCCCAGCCCCTTCCCTAGCCCTGCCCTCCTGTCCATCCCTAATTCCCCCACAATCCAGTTCCAGACCCCACACTCCAGCTCCAGCCCTGTCTCCAAAGCTCCCCCTCACTCACTGCCCTTCTCTTCCACACCCCTCCCGGACCCCTGTAGCCCCCGGCCGCCTCCGCCACGCGTCCCCCCGCTCCACTGCCAGCCCCCACGGCCGCCCCGGCCCCTCACCGCCCGCGGTCCGGCCCGCAGGAGCCGCGCGGGGACTCCGCGCCTCAAGGAGACTCCGACCGCGGCCGCCGCCATCTTGGCGCTGCGTACTTCCACATGCCCCGGAAGCACCCCCTCACCGCCATATTGTGGTCTGACGGGAAGGGGCTCCCGCCATTTTGAGTGTGGCGGCGCCCTCAAGAGAGGCGCCATGTTGGGTGTGGCGCGCCCTGTGGGACAGGGGTGGCGGGGGCAGGACGCCCAAAACCCCCTTTTATTTTCCTAGATTCCCCTTTTTCTTTCCTAAATCCCCCATTTTCTTTCCTCAATCTCCCTTGTTTTCTGTCCGTTAATTCCCAGCATCATTATTTTGCATGGAGATGTCTGTGCTGCTACCCGCCTCCTCAAGGGGACCTGCCCCAACATCAGTGGGGCAAATGGTGGGTGCTGGGGAGCAAAGAGTCCCAGAGACACTGAGGTAGGAAAAGCCCTCCGAGGTCCCTCCAGGACCTTCAAGTCTAAGCTGTGGCTGATCCCCACCTTGTCCCCAGCCCAGTGAGTGCCACATCCAGTCCTTCCTTGGACCACTCCAAACCTCCCTGGGCAGCCCCTGCCAAAAAAAAATGTCCCTGTTGGAAATGATGTAACTTTCCTAATTAGTTTTTAATTAATTGTTACAATTACTTGTAAGCAGTGCCCACTTTTAGCAAGCATAAGTTAAACTTCTTCACTGCTCTAGATTCTTACTACTATTTTAATCATTAAATCACTGAAACCTTGAGTTTGTTAAAGCTAACCCTGACAAGCTTCCATAAAGCCAAAGGGAGTTGAAGACTGGACATCTGGGATCTCAAATTTATGGACCTTTAAGGACACTGGAGAAAGAAGAAGACACAGAGGAGACTGAGGCCTGGAAATCTGGGGATTCCCAATTGAAAAACATGAGAAAAGGATGATAAAAGAACTCAAGAATGTGGCCCAGCTTAGCATGAAGAATGAGAGATCAATAACCAATAGTGGACAGGCTGCTAATCAATGAAGAGCGTTATTAGAACCCATGACCACTAATTTCTGTGTTAAAAACATGTAGATAAATGAAATAATTTTGTATTGATGTGGAGGCTGGAGCTCTGTCAGCCACACACAAACCCTGCCTGAGAATAAAGTGATGCCTGACTCACCAACACCACAAAAACAGTGGTAGAGACAATTTTGGAGGATTTTAGTAACTTCCTCACCTCTCTGAGCACTCCCACTGTTTCCCTCCCAGTTATTCCCGACATAATTATTAATTAATAATTAATTATTAATTATTTGGTTATTTAATTCCCCAGCTTTTTCCTCACAGCAAATTCATTTATTAAGGGAATCACAAGCAACACACGCTGGGGGCAAAGGTGGAGGGAGGAGGAGGAAGAGGAGGAAGAGGATGAAGAAGAGGCCTGGCTATGGTGTGAAGTGCCACCACTGGAAGGCAAAGGGCCGGCGCTGGACGTTGGTGCCGCAGCGCACCTCGCCGAGGCTGCCGTGGTAGGAGGCCACGTCCTCCAGGAAGCGGCAGCACAGCCCCAGCGGCTCCAGCAGCGCGCGGATCCGCTGCTCCAAGCAGCACTCGCCACCTGCCACCGGGCCAAACGGCTTGGGGATGCCCAGGTCCCTGGCCAGCACGATCATGGTGACCTGTGGGGTGACACCAGGGGATGTTGGCATCAGAATGGGTTACACTGAAGGGCTTGGGGATGCCCCTAGGTCCCTGGCCAGGATGATCATGGTGACCTGCAGGCTGACACTAGCAGTGTTGGGACGGATGAAGCCAAAGGAATGACACTGATCACCCTCCTTCACCCTCCTCAGTACCACTTTTTGCAGCTACCCTTTCTCAGGATTCCAAACCCAACAGAATTTCCCCCTTTTTATCATTAAAACATGCCTCACCCCTTGCAATTTCACCACTTTTTCTAAAAACCCCACTGCAAGCACCACAAAGCCACCAAGCTGTGTTAGACCTATGTTTATCCATCCCTGCCTGGATATATTTCCTTTTGCTAGACAGCTAGAGGGGTTTTTTGGGAAAACTTTGGGGAAAATATGCCTCTCAGCTTGCAATTTCACTGCTTTGAAAGGGTTTTGCCTCAGAACACCAAAGCCACCAAGCTGTGTTAAACCTATGTTTATCCTGGAGATATTTCCCTTTTCTAGACAGCTGCTTTTTCAGGAAAACTTTGGGGACTCATCCTGGCTGGCGCAGCTTTTTTTTGGGGAGGAGCCAAGAATGGGAACCCCCCATTACCGTGTTGGGGAAGTAGGGAATGGCTTTTCCCTGCTTGTCCAGCTTGAAGAGGGCCGGCAGGTCGATGATGTCCTCCTCCAGCAAGCCCAGCTCCTTCTTGAGGATATCCCTGTTCCAGTCAATGCAGCGCTGCAGGGGATGGAGCAGAGCAGAGAGGGGACCAAATTCCACCACTCCCTGTGGGGCTTGTGCCACGCTGGGTGGTCCCTGCCAGAAATGGGGGCTGTGACCCAGAGTGTGGGGATTACCTGCACGTACTGGTTCTGCTGCGCCAGGACGTCGTTGGACAGCACCTTGTTGATGGTGACGCGCTTGGTATCTGTCCCCGAGTACCCTAAACACAAAAAACACCCTCAAAACGAAGCAGTGCTGGCAGGAGCCTGGCTTGAGGTAGGGTATAGAGATGGAGAAAGCCCAAAAAAGCCAAAAAAAAAAAGCCCTAAACCCCAAAATCCCAATTTCCTGAGGCTGGGATGAAAGTTTGGGAAGCTGAAGGGAAGAAGTCTCTGCTCATTGGAAACAGCCTTGGAAAAGTCCTGTCATCCATTCTCCTGCCCATAGGGATCCAGTGGATTTCTCTAGAGCGTTCCTCTCCATGGGGTCACCCCTGGTCTGGGGACACCCGGGCTCCCACCAGAGGAACCCTTGGATACAGAGACCTTCTCCCAACCCCGCCATGGATCAAAATCACAGCAAAATGGAAAAAACACAGTTTGGAGACCTTCTCCCAACCCTGCCACAGATCAAAACCACAATGAAATGGAAAAACCCAGCTCCAATATGGACAGGAGAGCTACCTCTGCTCATTGGAAACAGCCTTGGAAAAGTCCTGTCATCCATTCTCCTGCCCATAGGGATCCAGTGGATTTCTCTAGAGCGTTCCTCTCCATGGGGTCACCCCTGGTCTGGGGACACCCGGGCTCCCACCAGAGGAACCCTTGGATACAGAGACCTTCTCCCAACCCCGCCATGGATCAAAATCACAGCAAAATGGAAAAAACACAGTTTGGAGACCTTCTCCCAACCCTGCCACAGATCAAAACCACAATGAAATGGAAAAACCCAGCTCCAATGCACAGGAGAGCTACCAGTTGAACTGCTCCATGCTGGAGCTCCATATCCTTGGAGATACAGAGACCTTCTCCCAAACCCATCAGGGATCAAAACCACAATGAAAGGGAAACCTGGTTCTAATCTGGGGGGACATGAGAGCTTCCAGTTGTCCTGCTCCGTGCTGGAGCTCTGCTGGCATTTCCAGAGGCTCCATCCCTGGCAGCAAACATCCCCTCCACGCAGAGACCCTTATCCCTCCCATCCCACTCATTTTCCCGAAATAGGGCTGGAGGAGGCCGGGGGCGGCGAGCAGGCATCTCGCTGAAGGACACCCAGCGGGGAAATGTCCCCGCGTGGCCCCGGCTGCGCCACTGAGCGCTGTCCCCTTGCCTTTGAACATGGTGGCTTCTCCCTGACCCTCCTTCTGCTTCTCACGGAAGAGCCGGTAGCAGGCGGCCGGGCTGGCCAGCAGCATCCGGAATCGCTGCGGGAACACGGCCGGGTCAGCTGCAGCCCTGCAGCGCCCCAGGACTCACGTCTGCAAAATCCCAAGCTGAAACTCTTAAAATCTGGAGTCTTTGCTGTCATCTAGTGCCTCGTTTAACCTGTGGAGGGTTTATGTGCCTAAATATTCTATTTTTGAGCCATTCAGGTCAAGGCTCAGTTTGCCTGAGTGGAAAATTTATGTGAGAAGCAGCCAAAGCAATGATAGACTGAAGAGAAACGATCTGAGAACATGTGGGCATAAATATTCCTTTTTTTTTGAGCCATCCTGGTCAAGGCTTGGTTTTCCTGAGGAAAAAACCCGTGTCAGAAGCAGGGAAAACGATGATAGAGGGAAGAGAAATAATCTGAAAACATGTGGGCATAAATATTCCTTTTGTTTTTTTGAACCATCGTGGTCAAGGCTTGGTTTCCCTGAGGGAAAAATCCATGTCAGAAGCAGGAAAAGCCACAAGAGAGGGAAGAGAAATGTTCTGAAAACCTCTGGGAGATGCTGAACCGCTGCAGACCCCCAGGAATGTTAAGGCTGGATTTTCTTGGATACCTTTGTAGCACCTTTTGCCTTCTATTTGCGTTCATTAATAGCCCAGCAAATCCCTTTTTTTGTGCTCAGATCCCTCATTTTGGGGTGGGGAATGAAACCCAAGGAAACACTGGCTGGGGTGCCAAAGGAGGGAGCTCTGGGCTTTTCCCAGGGGGATCGGTGTCCTGGAGGAGGAACCCTGGGGCAGCACGGGGGGTCTGGGGGTACCTTTTTGTCAGAGGCTGGGACAAAGTTGACAAACTCGTTGATGTTGCCCACGGCCAGCCAGTCAGAGTAGAGCTCCACGGGGGCCTGGACGCGCTGGGCGTAGAGGAAATCCCGCACCAGCCTGGTCATCCTGCGGCCCGCGGATCTGGGGGAGAATTCCCATCAACATCTGCCTGGATTCTTGGACTGGGGGGTATTCCCATCAACGTCTGCCTGGACACTCAGACTGGGGGGGTATTCCCATCAACATCTGCCTGGACCCTCAGATATAAATTGCCTCTGAGGTGGAGGAGCTGGGAGTCCCCACCCTGTGCAGGCAATGTCTGACTGACCCAATTACCCCGATTTTGGTGGTGTTTCAGGGCACCTGTTGAGGACCTGCTCCCAAATCCAGGTTTTTCCCAAATCTGTGTTTCCCCGTCTCTTACGTGGGGAAGCTGCTGCCGATGAGGATCCTTCCCAAGGGATACTCCTTGCCAGCCATGGACACAGGCGGGCTGACCTCCACGTTCCCGAAGGAGTCCAGGCTGGCCACGGCCTCGAAGAGAGGCTCCTTGTGCACGTAGCCGAAATTGGGGCCCTGTGAAAAAGGAAATGCCCTGAGTGCCCGCTGCCACCGCGGTGTTATCTTCCTGCAGGGTGGGTGAGGACAGCGACAGCGAGGGGACAGGAAAGGGGACAGGAGAAAGGTCTCAGGGTCATGGAGCTGCAGGAATAATTGGGTCAACCTGGGAGCAGAGCCCACGCCTGGTGCTGGGACCAGATCTCCTCTCATCCCACAGCCAAGGTTTAAATGTCCACATTAAGCCAAGGTTTAAGTGTCCACATTAAACTAAGGTTTAAGTGTCCACATTAAGCAAGACCAGATCTCTGTTCTCTCTACCCAAGGTTTTAATGTCCACATTAAGCCAAGGTTTAAGTGCTCACATTAACCAGGACCAGATCTCCTCTGTTCTCCCCAGCCAAGTTTTAAGTGTCTACATTAAGCCAGGCCAGATCTCCTCTGTTCTCTCTAGGAAGGTTTAAATGTACGCATTAAGCCAAGGTTTAAGTGTCCACATTAAGCCAAGGTTTAAGTGCCCACATTAAGCTAATTAAGCAGCCCTGAGCCACGTTCCTGGCTGGCTCTGGGAGGGAAGTGAACTCCAGCCCCTGAGGGTGACTCTGCCCTGGGCTAAGAGCCACCCCAAGGGCTGCATGGCACTTAAATCCCACTTAAGGCCTGATTTCCAGGATTTACCATATCTGGGATTGGAGGAGCTGTGTGTGCAGGGGTAATTAGTGCTGGGCTCTGTGTGCCAAAGCCCGAGGGAGCGTTAAAAATGGCAAAACTGGGACCAAAATCACCAAAATTCCACTTTGCCCGCTCTCTGGTTGGAGTCCATGCAGGCCTGGAGCACACGGCAGCCCCTGGGAGGAGATCAGGTGTCCGTGAGGTTTGAGTTAAATCCCAGTCACTTATCAGGGCTGGGTTTCCATGGGGATAACCCAAATATACAGGTCAGGAAAAGTGAGCAGGGAGAGCTGGGGTGCTTCCACACAGAAATTCTCTTTTTAAACCAAGGCTGTTTGGAGACGCTGGGGTAGAGGGAGCACAGCTTTCCCAGAGGCTTCCTGTGCAGTTTTGGGGTGCATTTTTGGGGGATGGCCAGGATCAGATCCCTTTTTCTCTGGGTGCTGAGGGAGGGCCTGAGCACCAACCACCTGCTCCTGACTAATTTCAGTTTAATAAAACCATGGAGCCTGCCTGGTTTCAACTGTCAGGGCTCTGGTTCATCCCAGGTTTGCGGGTCACATCCAAGTCCTATCAGTTCCACACTGATTTTGAGGGGATAATTCCCTCCCGTCTCCTTTTTCCCTGGCATGGGTTTCCAAGGGCCCAGGACTTGACCTGTGCCCATGGCATCGGGCTAAGTATTCCTAGCTGGAAAATGAGATTGGAAAGGTCGGGCTGGGGATTAGGGCAGCTTCAAAGCAGAAATTGGAGGATAATGCGTTAGCAGCTCCCAAGGCTGAAATTGCTGCCCTAAATACAAGGCAGAGCAATTCCTAAAGAGGGCAGATCCATGCGGCCACCCGGCGGATTTGCTGGCTGGGACTGGATGTTCCCAAGCCAGGCATGAGAAATGATGGATTTCAGTGCTCCCCAAAGCCCCCAGCCTTCCGCAAAGGGACAAAATATTGGATTTGTTCTCATCTCCTGTTCCTGCTGGGGCTGAGGCTGCTCCAGCACCCGGCTGGGAGTTGGGGACAGCAACTCCATGGCTGCCTGGGGTGTCCCGCCCTTCCCCCGTGGGGTATCTCCAAGGAATTGCCCAATCCAGCTTTTTTCCATGCTGGGCTCTCCCAAAATGCCCCATCCCAGGATTGCCCTGGTCCTTTTCCTCAGCCAAGGAGCCCACAAGGATGTTCAAAGGTGGCTGGCTGCATCCTGTTCTCCTTTAAGGAAGTAAACTGACCCTCTGTCCTGGGATGCTCAAGGAGGAGAAATCCCATCCCAGAGCTTGGCTCCCCTTTCATCCCAGAGGTGCCGGCTCCTCCTTTCCCCCTGGGCCAGAGGTTTCCCAGAGGGCTGAGATTGGGTGAGGCTGGATGAGGGATGAGGGGGTGAGGGTGGAGCTGGGTGGGAAGGAATCTCCACCCGGAGCTGCTCTGCTCTCATTTTCCAGGCAATTCCATGCACGGAGCCAAGGGCAGGGAGGATTTGGGAAATCTGAACGTGGGCTGGGCATGACCCCGGGAGCTGCTCCACAGGGAACACAGGGAACACAGGGAACCTGCTCTCACCAGCAGCTCCTTGACAGGGAGTTGCTCCATCCCTCTCTCCCGAGGGGAATCCAGCACCACTGGGAAGCTCTTGTGGGGAGCCTGGGTGTAGCCGAGCTTGATCTCATCCTGAGGAAGGGAGGAAATCCCACCTGGGGCACTGGCAGGGAAGGGTTTTCCAGGTTTTTGGAGCCCCCCTACCTGCATCCAGCGGTCTCCACGGTTGATGTAGCCGAAGCAAACCTTCAGCTTGCAGCCGGCCTTGGCCACCAGGCTCTGGATCTCCTTGGTGAACAGGTAGTTGTCCTTCATGCTGGAGGAAAGGGTGGAAAGGATGGAAATTCCCTGTTCCCAGCCTGGCCCCAGGGCCGGCGGGGCTGGGGAAGCACCACCTGTACCTGCACACCAAGAGGTTCACCGGGGCCAGGGTGTTGGGAGTCATGATCCACGGTGCCACCCGGAACACCACGGTGTCCGTGAAGATTGGTGAGCGGGGGATGCCCTGAGGGAGCCAAGCACAAATCAGGGACATTCCCCACACCATTCCCCCCAGACACCCTCCCCTGAGGCCAGTTTTGGGATTGGTTAATGGGATCGCTCTCCATTCTGGCACCGTCCCGATCTGCTGGGTGCAGCCTCCCATCTGCCCCATTCCTGAGAGTTCCCAGAGTTCCTGGGCATTCCCGACCTCAGCCAGTGGCTCCAGGAGGCTGACGTGGATGGATACCAGCCCGGAGAAGGTCTCACTGGGAAAGCACAGCCCCTCCACGAAGAAGTGGAGCTCAGCATTCCCACCGGGGTAGGGAACGGCATGGAACAGCTTCCTGCAGCCCAGCACCTGCACATAGCGCTGTCCGAAGAAGGGATCTGCAGGGAACAGGAAATCCCCAGTTTTATTGGGATTCCCGCCTGTTTCCTCAAGATTCCCGCCTGTTTCCTCGGGATTCACTCCTGTTTTCTCAGGATTCCTGCCTGTTTGTTTCCTTGGGATTCCTGCCTCTTTTCTCAGGATTCCCACCTCTTTCCTTGGGATTCCCACCTCTTTCCTTGGGATTCCCACCTCTTTCCTTGGGATTCCCACCTCTTTCCTCAGGATTCTGGCCAAAAAAATGTTATGTATGTTTAAATCCTCCTTTTCTTAAAACCACACCGGGCTACTTGCTGCCACCCCTTTGCTGCGTGGCTTTGTGTCCCGCTTCCTCTGCTTGTCCATCTCCAGAGTTTTTCACAGGACGGAAAAGAGGGGAAAATGGGGAGGGGGGAATGGGGAGAAAATGGGGAAGGGATGTTGGGGGCATGGTCTGAGAAGCGTGGAGAGGACAAGGTCAGAGATGGGAAGGAAAGGACTTGTGGGGCCTCAAAATCATTGGGGGGAGGAGAAGGAAGATGAATCAGGGGAAAAGGAGGAAAAGGAAGAGGAGGAAAGGAAGGAAGAGGAAGAGGCAGAGGGGAAGAGGAAGAAGGGGAAAAGGAGAAAAGGAGAAAAGGAGAAAAGGAAGATGGGGCAGAGGAAGAACAGGAAGAGGAGGAAGGGGCAGAAAAGGAAGGGGGAGAGATGGAAGGGGAAGAGGAGAAAGAGGAAGAAGAGAGAAAGGAGAAAGGGGAACAGGATGAAGGGGGAGAGGAAGGGGCAGAGGAGGAAGAGGCAGAGCAGGAGGTGAGGAAGGCCTTACTCTGCACATGGAAGACCCCAACTTTGTCGGCGTCACTGACAGAAATGGAGAGGACGATTTCATAGCCCCGGGGCAGGCGCTGGGGCCCCTCTGTCCTCAGCACCATCTGAGCCATGTCCAGCAAATCTGGGAGCAAACGAAGCAAATCAGGTGGGGTTCTCCATGTTCCCTCCTGGGGTTTGGATCTCCTTCCTGAGACACCTGCTCTTGCCTCGCCACCAGCCCGGGCACCCTGGCAAACCAGAGCTGGTGCCTCATGGGCTGTGACTCAAATGCCCTTTTCCTGTCCCTTCTCCCTGCCCTCCCTGGCACGGCTGGGCCGTGACCTCGGAGCGCCGCCGGGCCTGGCTCCGCGTGGGTTGTGTTTTCCAGGAACGGGTGGGTGGATTCCTGGCTGCCAGCCTCGTGCCTCACCCCGTGCTCCTCTCACCTGCGTGGAGCATCCCCGGCCCGCGCCGTGCCAGCCCTGGAACCTCAGCCCTCCCCCGTGCCAGCCGCCGTGCCCTGCCTGGCTCCAGTGGGTTGGCGCGGCGTTAATTCCACAGAAATTCCCATGTGGGAAGCTTGCTCAGCAGCTGGTGGGGAGCAGCTGGTTCCTAGGCTGGGTCTTGGGCTGGGTCCTTCTCAGGAAAGGTCACAGAGAGGGGACAATGGGGATTTTGGGGACAGGGCATTTGGGAAGCCGTTACCTTCCCTGTTGAACACTTGCTCGCTGTCGCAGTCGGAGGGCGGGATGAAGGGGAACTCCTTGTCACAGCTGACCAGCAGGATGGCCCCGTGTCCCTCTGGTCCCCAGGCCCAGCTCGCCTAGAGGAACCCTGGGGTTCAGTGGGCTCGGGACCCGCCGAGCCTGTGGATTTTCGGTGTGGGGGAGGCTGGGTACCTTATTGGGGCTGTTCTTTTCCACCACTCCATCCCGATCCGCGTCCACGTCCAGGGAGATCCCTGCGGGGACAGAGCCGCCTCATCCCCAGGCACAGTGAGGGGATCGGGTGCCAGACCCCCAGAGCCAGCAGACCTGGGTTTGCTGTCCCCATCCCTGCCCCTGCTCCAGGCATGAGGGGATGGGTGTGGACTCCTGGAGCTCTCGACTCACCGACACCAGTGAGGAACACTCCGGCTTGGTTGATGGGCTTCCCTCCCTCTGCGTAAAAGCTGACGGTGACCTGCAAACCCGAACCCCACACTGGGGCAGGATGTCCTCCCTCCGTGGAGGTCCTGCTCCCGGGATCCCGCTCCTCACCTTGTTGTCGTTGACCTCGGAGCTGGCCCGGCTCATGCTGAACCTCAGCACCGTCCCCTCGTCCAGCGGCCACCGCGCGCCAGCGCCGGACACGGCCTCGGGCTCGGCGCGGCCGCGGAACAGCACATCCACGCTGACCCCCTCCGTGTGCTTCACGCCAAAGGCCACGGCCCCGGCGGGGGCCGCCCTGTCAGAAACACCGGGAATTCTCAGGGATGTGCAGGGTCAGTGCGGCGTTCCCACCGGGATTCATTCCACTGCCCTGAGTGCGGCCAAGAGCGGGCATGCCAGCGTCTCCATGCTCACTGCTGGCACCTTCTGCCCTGCTCCTGCCTGGGAACTGGAATTTACCCGGGTTTAGGCCTGGCTTAGCCTTATGAGCTAATCGCTTTGGGTAAGGATCTGTAAGTCTCCATACTCACTGCTGGCACCTTCTGCCCTGCTCCTGCCTGGGAACTGGAATTTACCCGGGTTTAGGCCTGGCTTAGCCTCATGAGGGTTTGCAGCCATCGCTTTGGGTAAGGATCTGTAGTAATCCAGACCAACCTGGGCTCGCACTTCCATGGAGAAATCCCTGTTCATTTTCCAGCATGGTGTTTAACGGTTCCTCAAAACACTGTGGCCATCCCCCCGAGAGGCGTTTCCATGGTAAATTCCATGGAGAAATCCCTGTTCATTTTCCAGCATGGTGTTTTAACGGTTCCTCAAAACACAGTGGCCATCCCCCCGAGAGGCTTTTCCATGGGAAGCTCTCATTTTTGGGGCATTTTATCCAGTCCCAAAGCTGTCAGTGCTGCCCTGCTCCCAGTCCGATGTGCCCTTGCTCTTCCCCTCTCCTGGCTCCTTTTCCCAAATTTCCCTGCCTGTCCAGGTTATTATTTTTGGGCTCTTTGCCCCGACACCCGAGACCTCGCTTTGATCAGGTTTCTCAGATGCCGCCAGTCCCACCAAACCCGCACCCTTGGCGAGGGGGGGAGGAAATCCGAGTGCTCCTTTGCTCCTGCCTGGGTGTTCCTTAAATCCTTCAATTGCTTTTAATTACACATGGAAAAACTCGTTTGGTTTCCTGGTTCCTTGGATCTGGGGATCCCACTGGGAAGGGATTTGGCCTGGAGAGGTGCCAGGGGAGCTGGAGCTGTGCTGCTTGGCTTGAATATCGAGGCTGGGATTTGCAACAGCAGCACTGACCAGAATTGAGCCTGGGATGTTTTTCACCTCCTTTTTCCCTTTTATCCCGAAGTTCAGCATTGGGTTTGTTTTAGGGAAGTGGGGTTGGCGCTGTGGGGACTTCTCACTTTCCCAAGGTTTTAGTCAAGAGGTTTTGTGTTCTTCCCTTACTTTGCAGTCCCTTCCCGGGCTCCTGCTCATCCCTCTGCTCTCCTCACCTCCCCGAGGTGTCCCTGGATCTGCTGAGCCCAGCGGGTCGGACCCACCCTGGTCTGGGGTAAATACAGGGGTGTTCAAAGCTTTCCAGGGATTCATGCAGCTCTGCAATGTCTGGGAAGGGGTTTGCCCACAAATTGCATTAAAACAGTGTCGGGGCTGTGGAGTTTGGGAAACCAGAGGGAAAATGAAGAGCAGGGTTTCCCAGAGGGATAAACAGGAGGGAAAGATGAGGAGGAAGGTGAAGGTGGAGGAGGAAAGGAAGTTTTGGGGGTCTCACTCATCTGTGGACATCAGTGTGGCTGCCCAGCAGCTGTAGGGTTTGGGAAAACAGAAGGAAAAAGGAGGAGCAGGGATTTCCAGAGGGAAAAATGGGGGGAAAGCAAGGAGAAAGGTGGAGGAGGAAAGGAAATTTTTAGGGTCCCTCTCACCTATGGACATTGGTGTGGATGTGCCTGCCCAGCAGCTGTGGGGTTTGGGAAAACAGGAGGAAAAAAGAGGAGCAGGGATTCTCAGAAGGGAAAATGAGGAGCAGGGATTTGCAGAAGGAAAAACAAGGAGGAGGGATTCCCAGAGGGAAAAACAGGGTTGAAAGGTGAGCAGAAAGGTGAAGGAGGAGGAAAGGAGTTTTTGTGGGGGTCCCTCTCACCATGGACATCGGTGTGGGTGTGGTTGTGGCTACGCAGCAGCTGTGGGGTTTGGGAAAGCAGGAGGAGAAACCAGGAGCAGGGATTTGTAGGAGGAAAAATGAGTAGCGAGAATTTGCAGAAGGAAAAGCGGGAGGGAAGGTGGAGGAGGAGGAGGAAGGGAAGTTTTGGGGTCCCTCTCACCCGAAGACGTCGGCGCGGACGTGGCCGCCCAGCACGCACAGGGCCTCGATGCGGTTCCCGTGCTGCAGCCGCAGCGTGCGGGGCTCCCCCGGCATCTCCCCGGCCATGGGCACCGGCACCGGCACCGGGAGCTGCCCCGGGAGTGCCCCGCGGAGCCCTCGCGGCCGCTGCTGCTCCTTCCCCCGGCCCTGCCGCCCTCCTCCTCCTCGCGGGGCTGGGATGGCGATGGGAGCGAGGGGGCGGCTGGGCTGGACCCGTGAGACCTCTGAAAGTGATCCGGGGGAGGGAGGAACAGCGGGGGACAGGGATGGATAGTGAGGGAGGGACAGCGAGGGATGGACAGAGATGGACAGGGAGGGAGGGATGGACAGGGTAGGATGGACAGAGATAGACAGAAATGGATGGACAGGGAGGGAGGGACAGCGAGGGAGGGAGGGCAGCTGGCCCCAGCCCTGGGCAAGGAGCTCCCCCAGCTGTCCCCAGCTCCCGGTCCCTCCTCACCTCCCTGACCCCAGCCTGGGATCCCCAACGCGGATTTGCGGCATTTTGGGACCTGGCCGCATCCCTGGGGTGCATTTCACCTTCTCCTTCTGCTCTCTAGGGAAAATCCCTGCCTGCTCCCGCTTTCCCAGCCCTGAGGCAAGAGCAGAACTCTCCTTTTTTCCCCCTGCTAATTTTCAAAGGGAAGCTGGGGAGCAGTGGCTGCTGAAGGGAGCTCGGAGCTGGTTTTGTCCCCCCGGGCCGCTCCGGAGCCCGTCAGAAGCTGTTCCCGCCCACGCGGGGTTTGCATCGGTTATGAACACCCAGCTAAATATTCATTTTCCAGCCCAAACTGCTGCCCCAGATTCTGGAAGCCACAAGCAATTAGCGAGCAGCAGCAGAGCTCAGCTGGATGTTCCTTCTTTCCATCCCTCTCGGGCTTCCCTTTTCCAACCCCGGCTTCCCTCCGTGGGGATGGAGTCCCTGGGATTTATAGGGGTCGTCTCCACGCTGCCATTCCCCCATGGAAAAACGGGGAATGGGGTGGGATTTAAAGCCCTTCAACTCCAAATCATTCCGGGATTGTGCTAAGGAATATCCTAGATGGATATCCAGGCCAGGAGCTGGGATGTTCAGGGCTAGCTCCTCGTGGGAATCTGATCTAAACTGGGATAATTTCATTGGAATTGGGATAATTTCCATTGGAACTGAGGGGTGGGAAGGGCTGGGGGATGAATATTCCTGGATTTTTTAGGGATCATCCTCCCCCTGGAATCCCCCCACGGAAAGAGGGGGAATGGGATGGGATGTAAAGCCCTTCCAGCCCCAATAATTCCGGGATTGTGCTGAGGAATATCCCAGATGAGCATCCGGGCCAGGAGCTGGGAAGTTCAGGGCTGGGAAAATAGGGAATCTGAGTTAATCGGGATAATTTCCACTGGAATTGGGATAATTTCATTGGAATTCGGTTCTTCCATGGATCTGTCCCGCGGCTGTGCCGGGACTGGGAAGAATCCCGGTTTACCCCGGGATCTGTCTCGCCGTTTCCCGGTGAATCCGAGCCGCTCCGAGGATTCCCGGGCGTTTTTAACACCCAGACCGGACCGGGAGCTGCTCTGCCCGAACCTCCCTCTGCCGGGGCAGCGCTGCCCACCCGAATTCCCAGGCGCTGGGAGCAGATCCCAGCCGGGAGTTTGGGAGCAGCCCCTGCGCTCCACTCCCGAGGTTTTCCCGGAGCTGGAACTCGGGATTTGCTCTCCCCGGGTGCTCGGGGTCGTTCTGGCTCCGCGCTGCAGGCTCGGAATTCCGGGGAGTGGGAGTGGAATGTTCCCCGGAGCGCTCCGGGCTGACCTTTCGCCCTCAGGAGGTGCCAACAGGTGCCCGTGCCCGGCCGGGCGCTGCCCGTTCCTGCCCGGAATTCGGGAATTCGGGATGGAGGCGCTGGGGCAGAGCCGGGGCTGTGCTGGGGCTGAGCGGGAGATCTGTGGGGCAGGGCGGGCGATGTGTGGGGCACAGCTGGGCCCGGCTCCAGCCGCAGGGAAAATTGCTGTTCTGCTTTTCCGGGACGCTTCGCTCTGGGATCGGCAGCTCCGGAGCCTCCCTGCGGGCAGCCGTCTTTCTTTGGGGCAGAGGAAGGGACGGAGCGGGTTTTGGGGTGCTTGGGCAGTCCGAGTGTTTTCCACGCTTTCCACCAACCCAAATTCTGTGTTTTCCCAGAATTTTTTCCTGTCCCGAACCTGCCTGCTGCTCTTTTTCCCTGGCTCCCAGGTGGGATGGGAGATGCGAGACTTCCCTGCCCGCCTGGGATGCTGCGGCCAAAAGAAAACCTAAAGAAACCCTAAAAAAATCTAAAGAAAACCCTAAAGAAACCCTCGAGGAGCCCCAAGCCCTGCCGAGCCCGGCGGGGTTTGATAACTGGTTCGATGTCTCGCCCTGCTCAGGTAATTAGGCTGACACGGCTCGTAAAGGCTCCTGCCTGCAATTCTGCACGCGGGGTAATTAACCAGCTGTAATTAACGAGCTGTAATTATCGGCTTAGGAAGATTATCGAACTTTCCTTGGCAGAGTGGTGCTGCAGGATGGGCGAGGAGCAACGCCCCGGAGGGATCTGGCTGTTCCTGGTGTTCCTGGGGGCGTTCGGGGGGCTTGGGACGGACTGGGATTGGGGAAAAGGGGATTGGGGAAAAGAGTCTGGCACAGGGGAAGGAAAGAATCTGGGATTGGGGGGAAGCCAAAGGCACCCCCAGAGCAGGCTGCCCAAGCTCCCTGGTGTGATGGACAGGCGGGATCTGTCTGTCATGTGCCACTTTAATTAGGGAGAAGCGCTGAGCTCCGGCCGGGCCGGGTGGCTCCAAACCTTCCTGCCCCCGAGCACGGCACGTCGGAGCCGATGGCAGCTGCAGGAGGAAGAGGAGGGAGCCCAGGTTCCACCCAAAACCTGCCGGCGCTCGGGGCCGCGCGATATCCGCAGCGGCTCAGAACGGGCTGGGGCTGAGCTGCAAAACCCACGCGGCCCTGGAAGGTTTGGGTTCTCCGTGCCCAGGGGTGCGATCCCGCTGGATTTTGGGGAGCACTGAGGTCCCAGCTCATCCTGTGCTCCTGGCAGAGCTGAGTTCTCCTCCCTGCAGATCACAGAGCGCCCCAATCCCGCTGTCCCAGCCCCAGATGTGCTCCCATCCGGCCCCAGGTATGCTCCTGTCCATTCCTAGGTGTGTTCCTGTCCGTCCCTCGGCCCAAACCAGCCGAGCAGGCTCGGGGCACGGCCCCAGCCCCTGCCCAGTACAAACCAGTGCAACCAGCAGCCTCCAGTGGGGAGCCCGGCCCTCTGGGGCCACTCCACCATTCCAGCTCCCAGTCCAGGGATCCACCAGGGCTGGTGCTCCCAGGAAGACCTGGAGAGCCAACACCATTCCCAGCAGGAGTTTGGGTGGTACTGGGCTGTGGAAAATGGGTTCTTATCCAAAATCTCCAGCGAGTGAAGTCTGGGAGAGCCTGGAAATGCCACCAGCATTCCCTGCTGGAGCGTCCTGGCTGCTCCTCCAGGCTCCTCCAATTCCTGAAGCTGTTCTGGGGTATGAGACACGGAGCTGGGGGTGGTTGCTGCAGTTGAAGTGGGAGGGAGCCCTTTCCCAGAATCCCTTCCCGGAGCTGGGCTGGGCTCATCCCAGCAGTTTGATCCCACAGGGAATTCCCTGTTCCAGCAGCTGAGGACGTGCAGCTCGGTGCAGTGCTGGCTCTGGCTCCTCTGAGCCCTGCCCGGCTCCCCTGGGCCTTTTCCTGCTGCTCCCCACAGGGATTTGGCCCTTCCCAGCCCTCTCCTTCCCATTCCCTGCCCAATCACTTCCCATCCTTTCCATTCCCTGTCCTGAGCACATCCCACCCTATTCCCTGGGGATGAGCCATGAGATGTTGGAGTTCTGGATGCTGACAACTTTCAACTTTTGTACTAACAAACTCTAACCCAAGAAAACACTGCATTTAACCTAAAGCATAAAAAAAGCTTCCAAAATTGATTAATAACACTAAAATTATGAGTGTGCAGTTAATTAAAATTGTATAATATCACAGAGTAGAAAACTTACAATTCTAAGTTTTAAAATATAATAATATATATAAAGTAAAATAAAAGGGACCCTCTGGAGCTGCTCCCTCCATCCCCACAGGCAGGGCTCCCTCTCTCCTGCTCCAGCAGGGATTCCCTGCTCCCAGGCAGGCAAATCCTCTGGGATGGGATGGTCCGGAGAGTGATGGATATCTGAAGCACCGACAGCTTCCCGTGGGATCTCGGCCTGGAAACCCTCCATTCCCCTGAAGCTCGAGATCTGAGCAAGACACAGAGGAGTCTGAGTTTCCTTGGGCAGCCTCTGGTTGTTGGCTGTTGGTGTTTTCCCCTTCCCCGCCTGCCCCATAACCAGTTCTCCCTGCCCGTCCCTCCCGTCCTCGGGATGGTTGGGATGGGAAGGACCTGAGCAAACATTTCCTTTTGTTCAGCTGTACTCAGGCATGGCCCTGCTGCTGCAGCTGGGGCCGTGACTCACCCGGCCCAGAGAGGCCGGCTGGAAAATTTGGGGTGTTTTAAAGAAAATGCCCGGTTTTAATGACAGCATTGTAATAACCCCAAACAACCACCCTGCGCTGCCGGGGGAGCGGGAATGTTTAATGCATGAGCTGCGGGGCTTGAGATGGAGCTGGGGAGGAACAAAAAGAGGGGAATAAACCCAAACCCCCACTGAGGAGCATCCAGCAGGGCTGGCTGTCACCCGGTGTCCCTCCTGGAGCCGCCCCGGGGCTGCCCTATCAGCTCCATCTCGGCACGGAGGTGGAACCAGGGTCCCCCGGCCGAACCCCGTCATCCCGGGAAGGAGGAGTTACCTTCCCGAGCCTTTTAATCCAGTCCTGCTGGTTTCCCGGCACAGCCGGCAGAGCTCCCTGCCCATGCGGCCGTGCCCGGCTCACCATGGCCCCGCGTCACGTCGTGCCCATGTCCACCAGCCACGCCGCCCGCGGCGTCTGCGTGCTGGGCACCGAGGTCTTCCTGGACACGCGCCGGTAAGGCCGGGCACGGGGCAGCCCGGCGTGTTCCATGGAGCTGCTGGGATTTGGGATGGGTTTGATCGGGATTGGGGCATCCCAGCCAGGGATTTGGGATGGCTTTGATCGGGACTGGAGCATCCCAATCAGGGATTTGGGA